TTGATAAACTGGTCTGATCCTGCTTCTTCCTGATGAGGCATAGCATACTAAGAGCTGCTAGACCTTGCTGAAAACCTCCTTGAGAAAATTCAAGTCTGAGAATGAGGTAGAACCTACCATGCTCCATGTCACTAGACTATTGCTTTCAAAAGCTGAAAATCAAGTGTTCACCTTAACCAACACTTTTGCAAGCAATATTGCTCAAGTGCATTATTAAAGCTTAAGAAACAGAAGAGGGGATTTTCAATGGGTTCAGGTCATCTTTTTTCCATGTTCTAATGCTCCGGATTTCCCACCAGCAACACAGATTCCTGAAGAGGGGATTCCTCACAAGCTTCAGAAGTGTTGGGGTACTAGAGACAGAAGATAATAAAGGTCAATATAATTGACCTCCTCTAATTAACCAATCAATCCACTTACGCTGAGCTTGGTTTCTTCTTTAATCTCAAGCACCTATCAGCCCTATAACATTCAAAAGTATCCTCTTGTTCATACACTTTCTTTTCTTCACCACTCCATCCTGAGGACTTAGAACAATGCCTAGCATTAAGGAATATAAAATCATTATTTCCAAAAACATTTGTTGAATAATAGTATTTGCCTGGATGTCTAATAAAAATTATAGCAGCCAACATTTATTTAGTGCTTACATCATTCCAGGAACTGTACTGACCTCTTCATATATAGGGCACCAAATAAAAGTAAATAAACCTCATTAAATTTGAATTTCAGATAAACAAATTATTTCTAGTATTTATTCCATCCAATATTTAGGACATATTTATACAAAAACATTATTGTTTATTTAAAATCCAAATTTAACTAGAGTCTTATATTTTAATTTGCTATATCTGGCAACACTATTAACGCATCTTATCTCACTCAATCCTCACAACAACCCTAGAGATATGTATTGTTTTGACTCCCATTTTACAGAATAGGACATTGAGGTTCACAGAAATTGAGACCTTTGCCTTATTTTGCAGTATTTATCAAAAGTTTAAATGACCACACACTTTGATAAAGATACTCCACTTCAAAAAACTGATCCTACAGGTACTCAAGTATGAATGTTTCAGGATCTTTATTGCAGCATTATTTGCAACAGAAATTGATTAGAAGCCACAAAGATGTCCATCAATATGAATTAGATAGATGTACCACAAAACACTTATTCAATCATGGTTCATTCACTCAATGGAATATAGTGCAGCCACTACAAAGAATAAGGTAGGTATATATGTGCTAATATGAAATATGCTATAAGTTACATTATTAAGTAATGCAAAAAGCACATGTAGGATATATTATACATTTTTACAGGCATAGAAAATTTCTTGAAAGATACACAAGAAACTACTGTGGTTGACAGTACAGAAAGAAAATGAAGAAGAAACTTAGAATTGGAAACAATTTCCATCATTTGTACTGTTTAAATTCTTTGGCATTATACAAATTAGTATTTTAATGGCCAATTGGAAAGAATAGAAGAAGAAGGAAGAAACAGAAGAAAACTTTGCTAAGATCACATGTGAATGGCAGGTCTAGGACCAGAACTGAGGTCTGTCTAGCTACAAAGCCCATGCTCTTAATAAATCTATATTTATTGTTCCTTTTTACTTTATTTTCCAGAGTAACTGCGTATTACCTATATAGGAAAACACTGGACCCTTATGAAAACATAAGGAACTAAAAGGATGCAATCATGGAAACAGTACACACTCCCAACATTTAAAACCAGTTGATCCAAAGACAGCTTGCAATCATGGTCCCCTGACACAAACAGTCAGTGGACAGCAGCAGTTTCTGGTTCTTTTCAATTCCAGTATTATCAAAGCTGTACTAGAGGAAATCATATAGCTTGGCCCTAGTCCCCTAATAACAGACTGGTGAACAGGACCTCATTACATTGAGAATGAACATAACGCTCCTATCTTTGGAATCTATTTATTCTGAAAAATGCAGGGTTTTTTTCTCCCTTCTTACCACAATGCTTATGTGGTAAGACAAAATCACACAAGGATGTCTATGGTCAGCTGCTGAAGATGATCTCCTACCAATTTTGCCAGGAAGGAGATGATGAAAGATGAAGTCCTACAGCATGGAGAATTTAACAATTTGCTGAGAAAAAGTAATCAATCTTACAGATGCCCTGCCTAATTTATATAAATCCTATTGTGCATTATCAGTTGCAGAAAAAGTCACACAATTTAGCCTTCCTACTTTGAAAACAAAATGATCAACTCACTAGGTTTTACCTATACAACAAGACTGCTGAATGTTGTGCAGGAAATATATTCTCTTTCATCATTTTTCTAAACTGCAAACCCTTGCCCAAATGAGTCTCCTAAGACTCTATCTTCTATAGACTCTTAGTAGGATTCTGTGAATGGATATAGATTGTGAAGCCACAGGAATTCAGAAGAAAATGATTTCAAAGAAAGACTCTTCCATTTGTTCTCACTTATGAATGCTAGAGGAAATATCTTAGATTGAACATGGAGAAAACAGAGCTATTGGTCTAGGTTGGATTCCTGTGTAATAAATTTAGAGGGAGATTTATATAAAAGAGGTTCATTGACAAGTTCTTTTGGGATTAACACCTGTGAGAGGGGAAGGAAGCACCGCTAGGTGGAGGTAGCAGTTGGGCTGTTGATGCAGCCACAACAAAGGCCACAGCCAAGCCCATGGAGAGCTCTGGAGCTGGAACAGGCGTTTAGAATTGGATCAAGGGGGCCAAGACTTTATATTATGGCATGATTCAGTCACTGAATGCAGGATGACCCCAGAAAAGAGGACTGTCCTTAAGCAAAACACTCTCATCAGCCAAGGGCAATTCCCAGAGAGGGCTGTCAGCTGAAGGTTATATGTAGGCAGCACTCCTGACAGCTGGGAAAATATATTCTGTAGTCCTGAGAAGGGATGTGGGTGGCACAGCAAAACATCCACTACAAACTGGGAGCCCACTTTCCAGCTTTGCTATCGAAATGTTCATATATTTATAACATTCCCTTGAGGGGCTGGGGGCCAGGGAAGTCTCACTTTGTCACCCAGGCTGGTTTTGAACTCCTGGCTTCAAGTGATTCTCCTGCTTGTTCTCCCAAAGTGCTGAGATTACAGGTCTGAATCAATATTTCTTTTCAAATTCTAAGCTTTGTCTTTCCATCATTTCAATTTTAATCCTATAAAGTTATTGCAGGCAGCTGTCATGAATCTTTGTGCTTCCCCCATTCAAATTTAAAACTTTTGGGGGGAAAAAACTGTAAAACCTAAAGGTCATCTAATTCACCTTCTTTGCCAACAGTAGAATAAAGTTGGGAGATAAATTTCTAGTACCTATCCACTAAAAATATTCTACAGATAACCACTGACTACCAAAATATCCTAAGAATAATGTCGATAGGAAAAAATCACTGTTGCTGAAATCTTTCTTATATGAAGAACATATTTTGATTTTAAAAATGTACAATCATCTTAGCCCAAGCAGATCAATTATTCTCTTCATCTAAGTGGCCACACATTGTTTTGAAAAATCAGAGAACTGACTCTTACCAAGCTTAATAGCAAATAATCCTCCTCTTTTTGAAGAAAAAAAAAAAGCAAAACCAAAGAGCCAAAAAGAAGATAGTTTCCAATGGAGAAGAAAACCTGGATATCTTAGTTCCAGGATAAAAGGCCTTATTATACTTTTTCATTGCCTCTAGTGATAGTCTCAATCAATTTTCCTAGATAGAGCCAAGTGAAGAGATAACCTAATGTCTGTTAAACCAGAAAAAAATACTTGCTGCCTTACATCTCAAGTAGCAATACAAGCCATAGCAATATAGACAAAGCAAAAGTGTTACTTAATGGTGTGATGCGGTTTGCTCTGGCCAGAAAACCTAACATTCTGGAAACAGTGTTTCTGATTTTACAGCACAAAGTACAATTAAAGGTATTACTGGAATATCAGGAGTTTGTTTATTTATTAGGTTTGCAGTAATATTGTCCTAAACACTTTTTAAGAAAATTTTAAGATGTCACTTTAAAATAAGTTGTAATGTTTATCATCCCTAGTTCCTCAAAAATGGGATAGCATGTAAGTGGAATTCTTTTTTTTTTTTTTGAGACTCTGTCTCACTCTGTCACCCAGACTGAAGTGCAGTGGCAGCATCTTGGCTCACTGCAGCCTTGATCTCCTGGGTTCAAGCTATTCTTGTGCCTCAGCGGCCTAAGTAGCTGGGATTACAGACATGCATTACCACACCTGGCTAATTTTTGTATCTTTAGTAGAGACAGGGTTTTGCCATGTTGACCAGGTTGGTCTTGAACTCCTGGCCTCAAGTGATCTGCCCGCCTCAGCCTCCCAAAGTGCTGGGATTATAGGCATAAGCCACCAAGTTCGGCCCTAGAATTCTTAATGAGTTGATCACTGGCATATGAGGTATCATCATCCTTCATTAATGAGTTCAAGACCACTTTTATGTGCACAAAATGACCACTCTAATCTAGACACTATGCTGAGACTCAGAGCTGCAAGTAGAATTAGACACAGACTGTAGTTATCAGAAAACCTGGAGACTAGTGAAAAAATGTAAGTCTGGCTCTTAAATAACCACAACTCAACTATCTCTGTCTTCTGATACCTGGAGTATGTGGATATTCTTCCTGTCAACTATGAAGAATACCTGTACTTCAGAATGACCTCAGTGTTAGATTGTTTGCCATATAGCTGTCATCAAAAGTCCAGTAAGAAAACTGATAGACCAGAAAGATTGTCTAATAAAGAATATATTAACTTTCATTTCTCAAGATATTCCAAGCTTTTTCCACATATCTGGTGAGCTCATCAGAAAACTATATGCCTGGACTGTATTACTCTAGTCCCTCTAGGCTTGTCTTCTCAGAATCATGACTTAACATTACACCAACAGATTTCAATCAGGATTTATTTATAATCATGGGTAAAATATCTCTACTCTCTGAAGCTTCAACCATTATGTCACTCATATTTTTCTCAGGACCAGGATAAATCTTCTTGCTCATAATTACCAGATTATTTCCTGTCAGTAGACCACCAGCTTTGTACCCTCAGCACCTTCATCATGAGGAGAAACAAAGTGCAAGGTAAGTAAAATCATGATTGACAAATCTTGATGGGTCATTTAAACAAAAACCAGGAAATTTTATAGTAAGACTCTGTCCTTTGAGGATGACATTATAGGAAAAATCATGACACTTGCAGAAACCAAATTCTGTTCAGAATGGACCAGAAATTGGAATTTAATTTTTACAAGTCCTTACACTTTTAAAGAAGAGAATATTGGCCCCCTTGTTTATGAAGGAAATGATGCAGCATAGTAGAAGAGTACGTGTTGTAGAGCTGGAAAACATGGACTTGGGTCCAAGCTTCAGCACCAACCAGCCTTCAGGCAAGAGACACTGATCGACTCTGGAATTCCCTGCTATGACCTACCAAAACTGGCTCTTACCAACCTCTCAGAATGTCTCTTTATTCAGAAAACTGAGGTCTTTAAAATAGCATAAACCCAACTAACATTTAAATACCTGTCTTTCATGAAATTTTTTAGTTTCAGATGAAATAAATTCATTAAAGCATTTTGTAAACTGTAAAATAATATTTATATTTAAAATATTGTGACTATTTTTTATTATTATTATGCACCTCATTATAAGGACTGTACATTCTGATTTTGATTTCAAGTCTTCAAAAGAGCTATCTAGATTTACTATCTCCACTTCTTGACTGCCCATGCTTTCTCCAGTCAGGATTTTTCTCCGTCCTTCTAACTACAACCTCTCTGGTCATCCTTTATGTTGCTAAATCAAATTATCAGTTCTCAGTCTTCACTTTATTCATCACAGTCAGCCACCCGCTCTTTCTTCAAACCCTTTCTTTGCTTTAACTCCAGAACATCAAAGTAGTTTCCCTCTTATTTCATTAGTGACTGCTTCTCATGCCCTTAGCCAGCCCTTCCTCTTTGCCCATCTTCAAACTTTGGAGTGTCCCAGAGCTATAGCTCCTCTCTCCACTATATAGGGCCAAGAATCTTCATCCTAGGCAGTGAGAAGACTTTTTTTTTTTTTGAAAAAGGGTCTCTGTTGCCCAGGCTGGAGGGCAGTGGCATGATCTCAGCTTCCTGCAGCCTCAACTGTCCAGGCATCAATACTCCCACCTCAGCCTCTTGAGTAGCTGAGACTACAGGTGCATGCCATCATGCTTGTCTAAGTTTTCTATTTTTAGTAGAAATGGGGTTTTGCCATGTTGCCCAGGCTGTTCTTACACTTTGGAAGGCTGAGGCAAGAAGATCACTCCTGAGCTCAAGTAATCTGCTTGCCTCAGCCTTTCACAGTGCTGAGATTACGGGCTTAGGCCACTGTGACTGGCCTTGGATGACTTTTTAGAGACAGAATTTCTTTCTTGTTGCCCAGGCTGGAATGTAATTTCAGGGTCTAGGCTCACTGCGACCTTCACCTCCCAGGTTCAAGTGATTCTCCTGCCTCAGCCTTCCAAGTAGCTAAGGCTAATTTTTTTTTTTTATTTCCAGTGGAGATGGGGTTTCACCATCTTGGGCAGGCTGGTCTCAAATTCCTGACCTCAGACAATCTGCTTGCCTCGGCCTCCCAAAAAGTGATGACTTTTAAATTACATCCTCGGCCCACACCTCTCTCCTAAGCTTCAATAATGCATTCTACACCTCTACAGAGTGCCTAATACCTTGATGGAATTCTGGTTTCCTAGACCAGGCAGAAAACAACCACCACCACCACCACATGTTTCTTCCCCAGTTTTTTCCATTTTGGAACCTCAGCCAAAAACTAGGTTTCCTGATGCCTCTCTTCATACCCACACAATACAAGCATTCCTACTGCCTCTACCCTCAAAACACATCTCAGTCTGTGGATATTACATGGTATTTACTAAGTAACTTCCGGCTATTTTGTCAAGTAATAATGGTATTATAGCTAAATATGTTTAAGACCTTATATGTTCAAGATAAACACTAAAGTATTGATGGATAACAGGATATGACATACAGGATTTGCTTTTAAAATACCCCTGGAAAATTAAAAAAAATAAAAATGGATACAAAATAGCAAAAAGTTGATGGTAGTTGCAGCTAGGAAATACACAGAAAAGGATTCATTGTACTGTTCTATTTGTGTGTGCATGTGTGTCTGAAAATCCATGAGATAGAGTGATTATGATAGATGATAGATAGATGATAGATAGATAGATAGATAGATAAATAGAGATAGACAGATGATTCTACTTCTGTTTATGTCCTTCACTGCTAACACTCAATTCCATGTCATCATCATCTTAGCTGGACCAGAGTAGAAAACATAATTTATCACCCTCATTCTGCTCCTGTCTCTCTCTGCTGCCCACTGTCTACACAGAAACCAGAGAAATATTTTTATTTTTGTTTATATAATTTCCTGCTGAAAACCCTCCAATGGTTTCTCATTACATGTAACATAGCGTTGGAATTCTCTATAACTATCTCTAGGAATGGGCTCTTGCCAGCCCCCTCAGTACTCCCCTTCATCACAATACTCTAGCCACAGAAGACATCTTACTGTCAGGTTCATTTCCACCTTGGAGCTTTCATACTTGTTTCTTCTACCCAAGATCTTGGCATGGCTAGCTGCCTCTCAGCTCAAATCTCACCTCTTCTCGGGGCCTTCTCCAACCACCCTATTTAAAATCATCTCCCCATCTCCCATCCCATCACTCTCTATCCTATTCTCCCATTTTATTTTCTTTGTTGTACTTACAATTACCTGAAATCATATTATTTATTTACTTTTTATTTATTATCTATCTTCCACACTAAAATATTGCTCATGAGGACAGGGATTTGTCTGGCCTCCTCATTTCTCTATCCTTAGTGCATAGGAGAGTGCCTAGCACGTATTAGGGGCTCAACATATATTGGTTGAATGAATATTTGAACAGATTACCTATTTATGTGGTCACTCATACTGTGTGAATAGCATATTTAGTCCTAGAGCTGACATGAGTAATGGTTTCACATGGCTATGTCTCCTGGGAAGACCCTAAGAAAATGTAACAAAGCTAACAACAAAGTATGGAAAGAGGGTAAGGACAGGATGAATCACTGCAAGGCAAAGGATAACGGTTTAGACAACAAAAGAAATAAAGAAAAACTTGTCTCCAAAAGAAAAAAGCAGAAAGCAAAATTGCATACATTGCATGGGTTCTTTTGCATATATTTATATTTGCAAAAAAAAAAAAAAACAAAAACAAAACAAATGTAACAGCAAGGGATAATACATTTCCCTAAAAACTAGACATTTTTACTTTTCTGATTTTTTCACATTTTTAGTTGATGAATTTTAGTGAAAAACTTCTCAGAAGCTCCCTTTTTCCCCAGACTGGCCTAATTTGCCCCTTCTTTAGTGCTTCCACTGCAGTCCATCAACACATCCATCCTCTTATATATTACATTGAAACTAAAAACTTCATTGTCTCTCTCACTACAAACTGTGAGTCATGGAAACAGAAATGCTATGTTAATCATCTTTGGTACATGGGAGATACTCAATATTTGCAGAAATAAGATAGACCTAATAATTTCTCTGGTTCAGAGCACCATGCTATGTTCCGTCTTAATAATACTAGGATAATAATTCAAATGAACCCAACAAAACTGGCTCTATTTTTGAGACCTATCACTTTTTCCAATTCAAGCCAATAGGATTCAAGTGGAAGCAGGAACTGCGACACCCTCCCCTGGTCCAACCTATGACATGAACTAGAGTGTCCCCAAAAAATCCTCTATTCCCATCAGATCTGGGTAAACCTGGCTTCTGGTGAAGGCCCTAACATCTGTGTCCCCATGCCCTGCTGACCACAGTAAGTCCCTTGAACAGGGGAAAGCCTTGGGCTTAGGGCTAGTATATCAAATGGCAGTCCCTTTTCTCATATTTTAGAAATTAGATGGATAATAAAGACCTTCTAATGCAATCCCTTCATTTTGCATTGTCATTACTTAAATCCCAAAGTCTCTAGGTTGTTTTTGTGCTCCCTGGATATATCTATATGACAATTTTTTGCCTGGAGTAGACTCCAGTTTTCACTATTAGGAAGATGAAAACTTTCTGCCAGTAAGTTGCCCTTTTAACTACTTTCTGGAAAACGTTCTATGTTATGTGCTCCACCCAGCCCCAGGATAGTTTTTCTGCTTAATAGCAATGACAGGCTGACCTCATACTCCTCCAAGCCCTCTCTGCTTTCTAGCTATCAAGGGGTTTCAAGACTTTATGGTCTTATGTATAGTCTGTAAAAATATGTCTAAATATATGTACAAGCAATTTTCTCTCTTCTGAATTTCTTTCTTAATCACAAGAGCCACTATGGGAAGTATATTTTCAATTTGGTTAATCAGGAGATTTTGTGCCAGGGATGGTGGCCATAATTAGGTACATTTGGGTAAAACTTTTATGAGTTTGACATTATCAGTGCCAGATTTGAAATTGAACACCAACAAATCTGCATGCCAATTATAAGCACTTACACTACAGTCTTTTCGTATTTGTTTGCATAAACTCTAATCCCTATATTTTTAGGTTTCTAATACTCTAAAATGTTCCCTGTTTATAAGTCCTCTGTTCCTTATTGTTTTCCTATCATTCTTTATATCTCAATTCCAGTGTTGTTTCTTCTTTATCCTTAGGAGAGTAAGAAATGAGATACAGAACAAGGACAAAATTTAGAATACAGAGAAAGAAAGAACAAATAATCTAATGCTATCCACCAAAAACAGAATGAACGGTGTCCCTTGTATCCTAGTGTGGAAAGCATGACAGCATCTCTTCGCTTCTGCACCCAGAAAAGTTGAGACCAAAGGCAAAAAAAATCCTTTTGAAACTATAATGAAGGATCAGGCAAAAAAGAGAAAGTCCAATAAAGAAAACAGGACATATGCTGAAAAACATTTCACAAAATGAGAAGTCATACTCTAGTATATTAGTTATCTGATGGGGTGCAAATAAAGGAAATCATGCACCTTTTCTCATTTTTTATTTGTCTTGCTCTTACTGGAAAATTAGGTTCTATTATTTTAAAAAATATTAACACATTTGTATCACTCAGGTTTCAGAAGAAAGGATTAAATGAAATTAAATTTCCATTAAAATTATGTACCTAGAAATTTAACTATGGTTCTGTGATCCCAAAACCTATTTCTAATAAAGCAAGCATTTGCAGAGCTGAGTTCTCAAGGGGGTTAAATCTGGATTTGTTCACCCTGGACGGAGGGGGAAAGTAAACAGATTGTATGACAGAAGTAGGTAATTTCCAACAAATACTTAATAACTGAATCTAGAAAGAAAAAAAACCTCAGCTCTTCCCTTTTGGCAGAGCTTTCGATTTTTTTCACATTTTGAAACTATTTACAGTTCATATGGTTTCCAGACCCACTCTCCAAAAGCAAGGACACCATCCCCTGCCTGGGTCTCTCAGCGCTCCATATTTGATTTCTCAGGCAGCCGGCCAGATAAGCATTTGATTTGAAAATGAAGACTTAAACTTAGCAGTGTGAAAGGGGAAAGCATGTCAGAACACAAATGCCTGGAAAGGGGTAACTAGATGAGGCCAGCTGGGTAAACACCCCTAGTCATCCAGGCAATTCAAAAAGTGCCACTGTGAGGGAAACTTCCACCACAAACCCTTGCAAGTCTATTTCTGCTTCTTCACTGGGTGTCTAGCTAGGGCTGCCTGTCACATTTTTGCTTGTCCAACTCGCTGCAACCTGAGGGCAGCTACGAATGAAATAGTAATCATTGCTTCAAATCATAGCTTGAGTTCTCCTAACTAAGAAATGAAGTCCAGGCAGATCTAACCCCTTCTTTTTCCTTGTGTCAGACACTGTACCATGCATGTTAATTTCCAGCAGTGCTCAAGAGACTCCCAGTAACACAGAACAGTAGGGTAAAGATGGGCTTGGTATCTGAGGACCTCACACTCTCAAGTGCAATGACAGCAGGCAGTGACATGCACAAACACAGTCTATGAATACTTATCCTTGCCCCAAATTAGTTGCAGGGAAGAAAAGGGAAGTCTAAAAGATATTCTGCTTTTGCTCCAAGATGCTTTATTCAATTCACTTTAGTACATTTTGCCCACTATCATATAACTATTGAGTATCAACTTCATGGGGATACGGAGACTGCCTGAGCCTTAAGTAAGTCACAGCAGTAATAGGGGCAGACAGACAAGGACAGCGATAGGCAATCCCCATATCTATCTTGACCTCTCTGCATTAGCTTCTTCCAATGCAGTGTGTATGAGATTTTCCAAAGACAAACCCTTCCACACAATCCCTCTATTATAAGAAAAAACCTCAAACTCTTAATGTGGCCTTGAAGGCCCTGCAGAGTCTGGCATCTGAGGTCTTCTCCAGCCTTATCTCCTCCTGCCCTTCTCTCAGTCTTATTCTCTGGACTTCTGCCACTCAGTCCCTCATAATCACCATCCTCTTTCCCCTCCACAGGACATTTGCACGTTATTTCCCTCTGTCTGGAATTCTTCTCTACTCATTGCTCCTGCTCCCATCACCACCTTTGCCTAGTTAACTCCTAGTCATCATTATGTTCTTAGCTCAAATGTACTACTTCCTTAAAGAACCCATTTCTAAACTGTTTCACCTCATATCTACCAATGCCCACAAAAAAGTACCTTTCTTTAGAACCACAGTCTTTTTCCTTAGCAGAACTTGCCTTGGTTTGTAATCTACTTCCCTGACCAGACACTAAGCTCTGTGATTGCAGAGAATATGTCTGTTTGGGTTGACCTGCATTTGCAGAATCTAGCTCAATGCCTGGCACAGAGGATACACTCAGTAAAGACTGACAAGTCAATGAAAGGTGAGGAGGCCATTATGATACTATGTGCCGTGATATAATACAGTGTTAATGGTGGGAATATGGTCAGGACATTACCTTGTAGCCTCATGCTCTGAATTGTCTCCTGACACCTTTTGCTACAATTTCTTCCATCTGGAATACAATTTATCCTCATTGTTGGAAGATCCTGTGATTAAAGTTCTTCATCCTTGCCTAATCCATTTTGTAACTCTTATATCCTACCCTCTTATTTCACTGTCATCTCTATTACTGTTACCATCAAATCCAGCCTCATACTTCCAATCTCCCATTTTCTGTTAAATCTTTTATCAGGTAAAGTCACTGACTTCCCTTCTTTGGCTCCTCACCATTACACCAAAGCTGAAGAGGATCACAGAGTCATAGTACTTAAAGCCTGAGAGGGACTGTGAAATATCTGGCCCAATGGTACTGAAACTTCAATGTATGAGAATCCCATGAAATGCTTATTTAAAATAGAGTCCTCAGTCCCAGACCCAAAAGGTTTGATTCAGGAGGTCTGAGAAAGAGCCCAGGAATTTGCACCTAGAGTGACTGAGATGCAGGCAGTCCTCAGACCCCATGTGCAGAGATACTATCCAGTGCTGTGATGCTTGTGGGGGTTCCTCAAGAGCTACCACAAAGGGTGAGACGGTAGCCAAGGGCACCTGCTCTGAGCAACCATACCATACATAAGATTTCATTTGAAATGGGTTCTGCCCATTGAAAAAAGAAATGTTTGAAAATGACTGGTATCCAATTTCTTTGTTTTATAGATGAGAAAACTCAAGTCCTTGGTCCTCAGTCATGTAGTCAATTTATGACAGAGCCAGAATGGAACCTCAGCCTCCTGACACCTGACTAGTGGACTTTTCCCAACACCTTCCTGCCTTGTGGGGTAGAAAGACCACAGAGGTTCCCACTGCCATGTTGCCTAAGAATCTTACAACGAGCAGCCTGCCTGTGAAGATGGCACATGTGATGGACCACAATGCACTAAAGAACATTGCTGGAGGGATGGGAGATAATGGATTTGGGCTCATTTTTCATCTCACATATATTCTTAGCCTCCCTCTTCAATAAGACTGTAAAGACCTAGTCATCCTCTATGGCCTGACCTCTTCCTGGGTTCTCCAACGCTCTCCCCACCTTCTCATCCCACCGCTCAATTAGCTCTTCAATGGCTGACCTTTGCTGAGGGGCCAGTTCTTTCAAGGGTTATCCTGAGACAGTTGTATTTCTGCCACCAGCCTCCAAAAACCCCACATGTGTGCACCCAGAGCACCTGGAACACCTCATTCTTCCTTGAACCCATTGCTGTCAAGTAAGAGTCTGTTTATTTGTCCATCTCTTTCCCCAAACCCCAGACTCCTTCAGGGCGGTGACATGGGTCATAATATTACCTGCATCCATAGCACCTAGCATAGTGGCTAGTACTCAGAAGTGTTACTTAAATGTGGGATGGATGGATAGATGAAAAACGTGAATCCCTGCTGCTACTCTCAATGCACCTATTAAACCTCTATCATATCCCTGAGGGAGCCAGGGATATGATAGATTAGAAAATGCTAATTGACACTGAGCAAACTAGATCCTCTCAATGAAATTCATCCCCTGTTGCCACCAGAGCCCCTTAAATCTCCTCTCCATGAGGCCCTCTCTGAACTCAATTCCATTTCTCAATACTTAACTTTTCTTCCTTCCCCCTGGATCTCCATCATACTGGACTTAACACTGGATATTAAACAAATTTAAAATCCAATAATGTTTATTGTGAAGGAATGCTAAGATTATGAAAACATACTTCATTGCACCAGAGACAGTAAGTTCTCACTTAACACTGTGGAAAACATTGTAGGTTCTTGAAAACTGTGACTTTAAGTGGAACGAAATGCAACACCAAGTTTTTCCTCACCCACACTATAATGACTTTGAACTCAACAATGTTACTTGAGGACCTGCCGTATGTTGTTTCACTTAAAGTCACAGTTTCCAAGAACCTATCAACAATGTTAAGTGAGGAATTACATATCCTCCATTAGAAAATACCGTCAACTTGCTTCACATCCTCAAAATCTATTCTTTCTCCATCACTGGAGTCCATTACCTTTCTTCTACACTACTCAGTATCATTCTCAATTATATTTCCCACTCTTCCTCATCTCATAACTCTTCCACAAAGCCACTGCCAGAGTCTCTTTCTATATGTTGCTGACAATGTCATTTTTTATAGCCCCCAAATTTCCCACGTCCCTTTGAGTACTTAGATCTAATTTAGAGCTCACTACTCTTACTTTCTATGCTGTCTGCCTCTAACTTTTCCTTTTTATCCAATATTGCACATCTAATTCTTGTCAAAGATCAATAAGTAGAGAGGATTAGAAAATGTCCTAACATGGAATAAGGAATGAGATCTCAGCTTTTGAGAAAATCGGTCAAGTTTAAAGGCGATCCAGTGTTCCCGAGTTACAGCTTCAAAGCACCATTCCCAACCAGGCTCCCAAAACCTACAAAGGTTTTCTACCACCTGGCGTTTTCTTCTACAGAGCCTGTATACTGACAAGAACTTTTGAGAGCTGCACATTTCTAATGAGATGAGTCATTTTGCTCAGGCACCTTACCCAGTAGTAAAAACAACAAAAGGTGAGAGTATCCTGGCAATTCTACAGATAAACCTATCCTGTACCATACACATATGATCACATTATATTTGGGGAAAACACTATATCTTATTAAACTCTGTGTCCTCAGCATGTATTAGGTTGGTGCAAAAGTAACTGTAGAATTACTTTTACTTTTGCACCAACCTAATAGCATTCTGCCTGACACATAGCAGGCAGAGAATAAGTGTCTACTGAGAGAAAGAATGAACAAATGAACAAATGTAGAACCTCTCAAGTAAAAACTGAAAACAAGTGAGTATTAGCCTTCTAGGGCTGCTGTAACATGTCACCACAAACTATGTGGCTTAAAAGTAGATCATCACCAACCATCTGCTTTAAAACAGCAGAACTTTATTCTCTTGCAGCTCTTCAGGTAAGAAGTCCAAAATCAAAGTGTTAACAAAGCAGCAAACCCTCTGGAGACTCTAATGGAAAATCTGTTCCAGACCTCTCTCCTAGCTTCTAATAGTTTCAAGCATTCCTTGGCTTGGGGCTATATAATTCCAGTCTCTACCTTCACCTGTACATAAGCTTCTTTTCTGTGTCTGTGTCTCTTCTTTCCTTCTCTTCTTTCATAAAGACACTGGTGGTTGGGTTTAGAGTCCACCCTAATACAGGATGATCTTACCTCAAGATCTTTAATTTAATTATGTCTGCTAAGAGTTTTTTTCCAAGATCATATTCACAGGTTCTGTTGCACATATCTTTGTACTATCCAACCATGACAGTCGTATGTAGTATCTCAATTATTTTTAAAAAGAATATTGTGTGGAGAAGCAGAGAGGAAAAAGAAGAGGAGCAAGCAAAGATGAAGGAGAGCAAACCATAAAATGCATCAACAAATTAATTGTAGTTAACTCTGATCTGGGTAGCAAGATCAAGGATGATTTCTATGTTTTGTTTGTATTCTTCCAAGTTTTCTTAATTTACTACCCACAGTAAACAGATCATACACCAATTTAAAATGTATGGAATAAATTAACCCTTTGAAATCATGTCAGGAAGTGTAAAGCAAAATGCCCCTGTAGTAAAAACATGCTGGGAGGAAAAATTCATGAGAAATAATCAACAGATGCTGTTAAAAACATATGTTTTGTTTGGTATAGATAACTTTTGAGTTGTGAATGAAACCAAATATCTTCACTATATTTCTTCACTATAATATGTTGATTTCTTTTAGCTTTCAGATTTTGGATCCTAAGAAAACTTTACATTTTTAAAATGAATGTTCTAACATCTCCAAGGCCTTTCTGTTTAGGTATAAGTTTGGGGTTGTTTCTTATTTTTTCAAAAGAAACTGTGGAACTCCTCCCAATAACAACTGAAAAAATACGCCTAAACCAATTTTTTAAAAAGAGAAAGAATAGAGTTTTAAATAACACATAGAACTTGGTGTATCTTTAACTTCCATTGTCATCTAAGAAAAATGTGTCCTGGTTACACAAGACCCTGCTATTTTGGTGATTGACTGCAATAGGTTTGAGTTCAGAACTGAGGGTTCTCCCATGTTATCTGAAAGGTCCCACTCTCCCACATACTACTTTGTATGATAAGAGTGAGATCAATTTGAGGGGCCCCAGACACTGAGAGAGGAGAGACTGGAGTCAGTCTCTCTGAGCACAGAACAGGGGAAGGAGACATTTAAAAGGCCAGCAGTTGAGGAGGAGAACTTTAGTGAAGAAAAATGTTAAAATAGAATTTCATGTTGCTGGCTAACGAGTATATGAAATAAACCCCCTCAAGTTGGTCCCCCACAAATTCTTCAGTCAACTCTACCTTGTCCTCTAAGGCTTTTATGTGAGAGGGCTCTTTGAAGGAACTTTAAGAGGAGAAAAAGAGAACAGCTAACATCTGGGTCACATAAATTTGAAAAACAAATTAGGAGATGCCACTGAAAATCCCATGTGCAGAGTTTTGAAAGTGTTATAATTTTCTGTTATTTCAAGGTGAACCTCATTTGGGAAAATAGTCACCATTTAAAAATTCAACTCTCAAAAGCTGTATTGATGCAATATAATAACTGATTACAATGGAAAGTCTTTTAAAAGAACTACAACAGTGTCACAGCTCACATACAGAAATCAGCTCATTGGCAAAGGGACCCCTCCGTTTGCAAAGCTGAGAACCAGAAACTGCCCAAGAAATGATTAATTCGGGACTTAAGAAACTGAAATTAATTTATTGAAGACAAAACTATTTTTGAAACACTATTACTGAGAGTTGAATATTAATTTTTAAACCACTCACTGAGTTCAAAAAGCACTGAGACCACTCTTGTTAGCTTGCCTTTAAACTCATTGTTATGGGGGTCACTGTTACACCCATAAAAGTATGTTTTATTGCTTTTTAAAAAAGAATCAAGTTTTTCTCCTCAAAATCTCCTTTCAAATCTGCAAGTCTATTCCTATAAGACCCTAAATACCTTTCCCCAGCTCATTCCCCAGTCCCTTTCCCAATGAGCTGGTTTCTGTATGTGAGTCATGACACTGTTGTAGTTCTTTTAAATGACTTTCCATACCATCATAATGTATAAGTAATCTGGGTGGCCTGGAGTTAAAAGACTCAGGCAGGTGGTCCTATGCCTTGTGTTTAACCACTCTAACTTCAAGCCCACAATTTAAATGGAATAACTCAACTGAGGGTATATTAATTCTTCCATGTTATCAAAAAGGTCCCACTCTCCCACTTACAAAACACACACAGACACACTAAATGTATGTCAGCTACAAATACACTACATGTAATGATCTTTGGGTTTTTTTGTTGTTGTTGAAGGCACTCAAAAAGAAAAAGAGAATATTTAACAAGAGTAATAATGCACTCTTACCCAAGACTGACATAATGGATAAAATCCAGCAAAAGGCAATATCATATATATTCACCCCACACCACCACCTTACTGGGTAAGTTGTTTCTAAGAATACAGCAGCAAATGATAAATCCTTTGACCATAGGTCTACATGCCTCTAATCTGGAAGCACAAGGAAGGTGGGAACAGGTCCATCAGGTCCTGTCCTACAGGACCAACAGGTCCATAGCTGCCTGAAGGATCTGCTAGCCACCCCTGTGAATCAATACCCAAATTTGCTATCAAGATGCTACAGACCCAGAACTAATATTTTATATACTTCACTTTTAAATGCTATATAGTTGTTGTAATATAAAACATATTCAAATTGTTTTAAATTGTTACTATTTGGAGATTATCATATATTACAAATACTTTTTATTCAATAAATGTTTATTTTGTTTTAATTTTACTTTAAGTTCTGGGATACATGTGCAGAATGTGCAGGTTACACAGGTATGCATGTGCCATGGTGGTTTACTGCACCTATCAACCCATCATCTAAGTTTTAAGCCCTGCATGCACTAAGTATTTGTCCAAATGCACTCCCTCTCCTTGCCCCTCACCCCATGACAGAACCCAGTGTGTGATGTTCCCTTCCCTGTATCCATGTGTTCTCATTGTTCAACTCCCACTTATGAGTGAGAACATGTGGTGTTTGGTTTTCTGTTCCTGTGTTAGTTTGCTGAGAATTATGGCTTCCAGCTTCATTCATGTCCCTGCAAAGGACATGAACTCATTCTTTTTTATGGCTGCATAGTATTCCGTGGTGTATATGTGCCAACTTTTCTTTATCCAGTTTATTATTGATGGGCATTTGGGTTGGTTTCAAATTTTTGCTCTTGTAAATAGTGCTGCAATAAACATATATATACATGTGTCTTTAGGGTAGAATGATCCTTTGGCTATATACCAAGTAAGAGAATTGCTGGGTCAAATGGTATTTCCAGTTCTAGATCAAGAAAGATCAAGAAATTGAAAACAGATTAAACACAATGGAGATATGGTATGTAAATTGTGAGATATGCACTAGATAGAATGTTACCTAGCCCCTAAAAATTCTATGTATAAAGAAATAAGAAATCATAATGATATGATCTAAAGTCAAAGGAGAAGGATAAAAATATAAATACATAATTATAAGAAATCTTGGCATAGAAAAAAAAGACAGAGTGGAAATATAAGAAAATAGTAACAATAAGTACTTTTGGATAGTGCAAG